CTGTACAGCAAGCATTGAGGACTGTCTCCTTCATGGCAGGTAGCTACTGCTACATGTACTGTACTGGTTTTATTGTTGATGTATTGTGTGGTGGAGTAGAGTTTGTTGAACTGAGGTTTGTTTGCTATTTAGTCTTCAATTTGATAAAGCTTTGTAGCAGTATGGCCATGGTCAAAATTTAGTCAAAATCTTAATCTTTTACAGTCAATTCACCAAATCCTAGCATTCATTATTATCAATAGTTGTACAATATTAATTATATACTGTATAGTGCAAGATTTTTGAGGGTTGTAAATTTCGCAAATTTGCCTTAAAATTTTATTTTACAAATTAAATTTTTTGTGAATTTATGCCATCTGCCATCTTTTACTGTAATAATTTGATTTTTGCGGATCTTTAAAATTTGTGAAATCCATGAAATTTATAGCTCTCGCAAATTTTGCCCTATACAGTATATTCCTTACTCTATGTTCTCACTTCTCATTACCAATAAGTACTGTATACAATAAGTACTGTATACATGTATATCATATACCGTAAATGTTCAAATAAAGGCCGGGCTTGAATAAACGCCTGGTACTAAGAATCTCCAAGTATAGATACGCATATTTTACTCAATATAAGTACCACAGTCTTTAGACTGTCCCAAATGGCCTAACTTGTTAAGCTGAGTGCATTGAACCTGGAGGTCCAGGTTCGAATCCCAGTTTTACTTTTTCTTGTTTTATTTTACACAATTTTTTTGTCCTGGAAAGAAATAAACGCCCGGGCTTTTATTTGAACATTTACGGTACTCTTTCTACTGTCCATTCCTCTACAGAGACTGGTGTGTTCCTGTACCTAGGACTAGCAGTCTTCACTATTAATAAATACTTTGACCTGGCTCTCATAATATGGAGTGTGGTACTGATACTGGCAGGAAGAGCTGCTAATATATTCCCATTGACTGCTCTGGTCAACTGCTGCAGGTCTATTAAGATCAGCATTAGGATGCAGTGCATCATGTGGTACTCAGGTATGTGGAGCCACACCCACTAATTAATGCAATAACCACACCCACTAATTAAAAGTTACGGGGAAATGGTAAATTAACTTTTAAAATTTGTAAAAAAATCCAAATTTGATCGTAACAGCTCAAACCTTCTATGCGTATATGCATCAAGAAATGTAATTAAAATGGAGAGTTTTTAACTTCTCATTTTTGGCAAAATTTGGTCAAAGTCCCAGGAAATGTAATAAAACTCTCTCCCATTCAGTCATTATATTCTTCTCTTTCATTCCAGGTCTAAGAGGTGCAGTGGCATTTGCACTAGCTGAGAACTTGAAAGATTATTTCAACAAAGAAGTGACAGGCTATATAGTGACCACGACACTAGTGATAGTACTATTCACTATTGTAATACTGGGGGGATCCACACTGCCGCTACTTAAGGTAATGAGGGATGGGGCCAGGGGTGTGGTTTATATATCTCCTATATAGTTTTTAAAGGCGGATAAAGGAGCTAAACTAACATTAAGTAAAACAGAGGAACAGGTAATGGAGTAACTTTTAACTGTATTGGAGATCTACATGTAGTTTCAATATTTATTAATGAGTGATTATTAATTAAGAGCTATTTATTAAGTAGTAGTTATTAAGTTTTGATTATTAATTAGTAGTTATTAAAGTTACTAGTTATTAGTTTCTGGTTATTAATTATTATCAGTTACTAGTTATTAAGTAGTAGTTATTAATTATTAGTTAGTTATTAAGTCCTAGTTATTATTTACTGGTTATTAATAGGATACAGCTATTAGTATGTCTTCTCCAGTCAATGAGAGGTTCATGATGTCTCCTCGTGTGTACAATCGACTGAGGAACTGCTCACAATGGTTCATGTTTATTGACTACAGGTGGGTGTGGCTAATAGTTATTAATAGTTATTAATAGTTATTAATTGTGTTTTAGGTATATCAGACCATTTTTCATCAGACGATTCACAAAAGAGGTAATGATACATGTAGCTAATTTAGTAATTTATCAGTATACTCTAGTATATTTTAGTAATTTATCAGCATACTCTAGTATGTTTTAGTAATTTATCAGTAATCTATCAGTATACTAATTATGCTTTATATTGGTAGATACAGTGTTTTTTGGTTGTATCATATTATTATTTATTTATTTGTATATATTATTTATTTATTTCTCTCTACCTCCAGGAGGTGAAAGCCTCCCAGTTTGATATGCAACAGAAGACAGTTGAGTGGTACCAGGGACTGAGGAATGACTCACTCTCTGATCATGATGAGATTCATGAGACCACTGCTGGGGAGGAGGAGAGTACTGTATCTACACTGTTATCATAATAACTACTGCACTACCTCCTCATTACATGTATCAGTATCAGTATTATTATTATTATTATTATTATTATTATTATTATTATTATTGTATTATTTAATGTCTTCTGTGTTCACTTCTCTCTCTCTTTCATTGTTATTTAGTACAAGGTGTGTTCTTAATCATCATTATTATAATTTTTGTTATTATTTTCATTATTTTGAGATTATTGTATTATTCTTGTCCAGTCAGTTTGAATTCATCTTTAAATCACACAATTAATTTAATTTTATTATTAATTTATGATTCAAGAACTACTTGCAAAAGTAGCCACTTTATTTTTGAGGTACATGTAATTAGTCTCACTGCCCAGACTGTCCCACCTACAGTAATTAGAGTTGGTTTGCCCAAATGACTGTGAGTGGTACTACAAACTATAAAGACAAGTTTAACAAAAAATTAAATCTAAATCATGCATTACAAGTGATTTAATGAAGCTTCACTATTGGTAGTGGTTTGTGTGGTTGTTCTTTTCTGTGTCTATCAATCAATGTCTTCTTTTGATCTTTAAGAGTATCCACCAGGAGAGGAGCAGTGTATCCAGTATTAATCTCAATATATTCAAGTGATGGATGGATGAAGATAGTTTCATATAAATGTTGTACTAGTTCTATCCAGTTAGGTCGAGATGACTCTTTATTAATATCCCAACACTCTATCCTCAGTAGTCTGATGGTTGTATGTGACTGTAACATGTTAGTAACAGCAGGTAGTCCCTGTTCATAAAACAATGGTGTCATTATTTGTTTCTTCTCTTCCCCACTACAGTTACTGTATGACTGATCTAGTTTGAAGTTCACTTTAAGTTCTATGAGATTATTCTTTTGAGAGATGACATTAATAAAAGTTGTTATCTCTTCATTCAATGGAATGGATACACTCAACTGCTGTAGACTGGTGTTGTGTCTGAGACCAGTTGTTAGGAAGGACAGGAATGAACTGGGAATGGAAAAAAAAATAGTCTTCATGTTGCTAATCTCAAGGTAACTAATAATCTCAAGGTATTTCAGTGTTTGATTTTGTGTTAGCATGTCTTGTAGACTAGTACCCATACTGCTGGTATATACTATGTTCCATATGTTCACACTC